GGCAGTTCTGAAGGCAAAAGGGGGTCCAACCCGTTACTAGCGTGGTGTACCTAATAAAGTGGCCGGTGAGTGTAAATGATAATAATAATAATAAATATTAGCACATAATGGTTTATGAAACTTATTTAATTTCACATCAAATAAAACAGCAGTTCAGAGCAAAATTCCTTTTTATCATTTTAAATCATTTAATTGAATCATAACTGGACCATAAAGTGATTTTATTAATTTAGGAAATATCTGGCCTTTTTTATATTATGTAATATTGCCATTACCAATCAGAAACACTGCTTTTATTATGAGTGGTTTGCTTTGATCGATAAAAATAAGTTATGCAAAATTCTCTGAAATGCTAAAAAAATCATATCCATTGGTCATTTAGCTGCTTGATAAACTCTATAAAAGCAATTAAGCATTATTAACAGAGGCTTGCATGAATGCTGACTACAACATCATATCATGATTATTTTTATTGTTCACATTGATAATATTGGATAATGGTGTGGCCTTAAGTGAATGCTTTATGCCATTTCCCATCAGCCATATACCCCGGCTTCCTCTTAAACCAGGGGTCCCCAAACGTTTTTCTTGTAAGGGCCACGTAACTTTTCCCTTCTCTGGTGGGGGGCCGGAGTCAGTTTGTAACAGAAAAAGTGTGACTATTGCAGGAGTGCCTAAATGTAAAAATTTATTGTTTTCCAGAAAGCACAATCAAATAASCCTCTCTGGGTTCTTCACAGTATGTATTCTGCTGAGCTAACAGTCCACCTTTTAGCTTTGAGAGTTTGTTTGCTCACATTTGGCCTTGTAAGCTATCATACTTGTCTTTGTGACAGGATTCATAGTGTCGCTGCAGATTGCATTCTTTGAATACCACCACCGCCTCTTAACAGATGAACAATAATAATAATAATCGTTTTTCCACTGCAGCTTAAATGCCCTGCATTCTGAATCTATTTTTCTCTTACCTAATCTTTTCACCATTATTCCGTTCTCTCTCTGAGAGGGGCGGGTTTAGGATTTTTTTGGGGGGGTTGCCAGATAGGGGCACAGACGGCAGAAGGGTGGAACAGAATGTCATGTTATACAGTCATGGCTGAAAGTGTTGGCACCCCTGAATTTTTTTCCAGAAAATTAAGTATTTCTCCCAGAAAATTATTGCAATTAGACATGTTTTGTTATACACATGTTTTTTCCTTTGTGTGTATTGGAACAACACAAAAAACAGAAGAAAAAAATGGTAAATTTGACATAATTTTACACAAAACTCCAAAAACGGGCCGGACAAATTTATTGGCACCTTTTCAAAATTGAGGGTAAAAAACTCTGTTTCAAGCTTGTGATGCACATTCAAACTCACCTGTGATAAGTAACAGGTGTGGGCAATTAAAAAAAACACACCTGAAACCAGATAAAAAGGAGAGAAGTTGACTCGACCTTTGCATTGTGTGTCTCTGTGTGCCACACTAAGCATGGAGAACAGAAAGAGGAGAAAATAACTGTCTGAGGACTTGAGAACCAAAATTGTGGAAAAATATCAACAATCTCAAGGTTACAAGTCCATTTGCAGAGATCTTAATGTTCCTTTGTCCACGGAAGTTTACAACCCATGGCACTGTAGCTAATCTCCCTGGACATGGACGGAGGAGAAAAATTGATAAAAAGTTGCAACGCAGGATAGTCCGGATGGTGATACGCAGCCCCAATCAAGTTCCAAATAAGTTCAAGCTGTCCTGCAGGCGCAGGGTGCATCAGTGTCAGCTTGAACTATCCGTCGACATTTGAATGAAATGAAACGCTATGGCAGGAGACTCAGGAGGACCCCACTGCTGACACACAGACATAAAAAAAGCTAGACTGCAGTTTACCAAAATGTATGTAAGTAAGCCAAAATCCTTCTGGGAAAACATTTTGTGGACAGACGAGACCAAGAAAAAGCGTTTTGGTAAAGCACATCATTCTACTGTTCACCGAAAACGAAATGAGGCCTACGAAGAAAAGAACACAGTACCTACAGTCAAATATGGTGGAGGTTCAAAGATGTTTTGCTGCCTCTGGAACTGGGTGCCTTGACTGTGTGCAAGGCATCATGAAAACTGAAGATTACCAAAGGATTTTGGGTCGCAATGTAGGGCCCAGTGCCAGAAAGCTGGGTTTGCGTCCTACGCCATGGGTCTTCCAGCAGGACAATGACCCCAAACATACTTCATAAAACACTCAGAAATGGATGGAAACAAAGTGCTGGAGAGTTCTAAAGTGGCCAGCAATGAGTCTGGATCTAAATCCCATTGAACACCTGTGGAGAGATCTTAAAATTGCTGCTGGGAGAAGGCACCCTTCAAATATGAGAGACTTGGAGCAGTTTGCAAAAGAAGAGTGGTCCAAAATTCTAGTTGAGAGGTGTAAGAAACTTGTTGATGGTTATAGGAAGCGATTGATTTCTTTTATTTTTTCCAAAGGGTGTGCAACCAAAAATTAAGTTAAGGGTGCCGATAATTTTGTCCGGCCCATTTTTGGAGTTTTGTGTAAAATTATGTCAAATTTGCCTTTTTTTCCCTCTGTTTTTTGTGTTGTTCCAATACACAAAAAGGAAATAAACATGTGTATAACAAAACATGTGTGATTGCAATAATTTTCTGGGAGAAATACTTAATTTTCTGGAAAAAAAATCAGGGGTGCCAACACTTTCGGCCATGACTGTATGTGTGTATGTATGAAATAGTTACTAACTAATAATAGTTAATGAAAATAGTTCATTACTAAGGAACATTTTATTGCAAAAGTTCAACTTTATAATCAAATATAAATACACATATACGAAAAAAAAACTAAATGCTCTCTGGTACTGTTCTGGGGGCCGGACCAAATGGGGAGGCGGGCCGTAGTTTGGGGACCACTGTCTTAAACTGTTTCTTACAACAAAATGCACACGGAGCCAGACAAGCATCTAATCTCACATCAAATCTCTCTGAGCTGGCAGAGCGAGAAAACCTTTCCAACACAAACTGTGGCCACCCTTCAAGGTCAGGTCCGTGTGGTCCCACAGAAGCACAGCCGAGGGGCTTGAGGGCAACCACAAGAACAATATATAACTAGAAAAGAGGCAGGAAGCAGGTGTGGCTTAAAATAACACCAGCAGCTTCATCTGATACCTCAGTCAATATGCTTTTTTCTTAATAAAAACAAATCGTTACTAATAAAATATGCTCCTTTTACATGAGCTGCTGCATTATTGGCAAGTTACTATCCAGGTTCAGGAGGGCTTTCACGCACTAACTCTTAAAAAACACAGAGAAGCAATAAAAGGTGACAGCCAAAATGCAAATTCTGAAGCTGCAAAACAGAATGCTGATTATATCCAGAAGAACTCCTAATCAGAACTTTGATCAGATTTAAGGTTTTACACGACGCAATGATTAAACTTTGCAGCTCAGAGGGAGAACGTGACAGAAAGAGTTTCACAGCCACTTGATTAATCTACATATAAATCAAAAATCAAAGTCGAGTGTTTCTACTTTTCATGGAAACACTTCAGAGGTGCGTTTAAGACATGTTTTTTCCCTCCTTGCCACAGACAGGTTTAACCAGGGAGACGGGGCTCTCAAGCAGGAGACAGGCTTCCTTAACGACAGTCAAGTGCTCCAGTCTGAGTGAGCTGCTGCCCTCAGATCTGTCTGGTGCATCATATTCTCACCTATTAGATTTGCCTTGATTCAGGTTTTCAATAAGCTCCGACTGCAATAAAAGTGAAAAACGCAAGCGCTGCTCTTGTATCTTGGACAAACGTCTGCATGACTGCAGCAAACAGAAGTTATTTACTTTTTATTTTTATTGCCTCCACTATGAGTTAATCGGGTCATTGGGTTCAATTTTGTATTTAAATGCTCCACATTGTGGAAAAAAAAAAAACTAAATGTTCACGGTAGGAAAACTCATTAACGTTATTAAAATGAAGCTTTAGAAAAGATAGCTTTTATCTCAATAAAATTAGAATTACAAGGAGCTGTTAAAGTGCCTTTGACATCAAATTTTTGTAATAAACATGAATGCATTTTTGGAAAGATAACATTGAAAACATATTGCAAAACACATTTCGCATCACTGAGATGAACGGTTGTTGAGATATTTGCATGTGAAGTAACAGGAAGTGATGTCAAAGGGGAATGTAAGCATGAAAACAGAGCGTTGTTACAACAGACTGTAGAGAAGAATCTGATGTTTCTTTAGATTATTTTTAGTCGCTATAAAATAAAAACAAAGAGTTAAAGTTTAAATAATTTTGTTTTAATAAACAGAGACCAACAAGTTTATTTTATTAATGAGCTCCCCTTTGATGTCACTTCCTGTTTCACTTTGGCTGAGCAGAATTCAAAAGAAAATAGGCCAGTTCTGTGACAAAATGTGTAAAATCATGTGTACTATGCCAGTTTTCTTAAGTATAAAGACATTTTCTTTGACTTTTTTGTATTTGAAGGATAGGCATGTCACAGGTACTTTAAGGGAAAAGGGACAAAACCCTAAAGTGAGGCTATTCAACTGGTGGCCCGCGGGCTGGTTACCAAAGTCCGGTCCACCAACTGGTTCATTAATCTCTTAAGCCCAAACCCCTGGTTTTCTACTTTAATTACTACAAGTCTGCACTGAAGGTGAGGCGAGGAGGATTTGTTTAAGCAAGTAAACAGATTGAAGAAATAAAAGTGTGTTTGATCATTTTAGTGGCAGAAAATATCTCAGCTTCGAAATATTTCCTACTTTATAAAAACAGTTACGAACAAACATTTTATGACTGTCGAAAGATAAGGAACTGTCAAAGACCACACCCAGATTTCTGAGACCATTTTTCACAAAAGGAGCTAAAAAAGCCAAGTGTTGTCCGATTACAGGGATTTTATCATCAGGGGCGATAATAATAATAATAAGAGTCTCAGTCTTGTTTGCATTTCACTCCATATAGATGTTGTTCAGCAATAGCTTGATTTCTGACAGACAGTTACTGAGTTCAGAGTTTGTAGATCTCTGAGATTTGAAAGCAACAATACAATTGTTTGTCATCTGCATACAGATGAAATGACAGATTACTGTAACGTTTTGGAATAACCCCTAAAAGGCAAAAATATGATAAAAAGAGTATTGGGCCCAAAACTGAACCTTGAGGTACCCCACAAGACAGCGGTGCTACATTAGAGTAAACCTGATACGTAAAAACAGTTTAACACGGCAACAGAAATGCCAAACAAATCTCTGTCGGCTGACAAAACCAGTGTGATCCACGGTGTCAAAGGCTGAAGTTAAGTCAAGTGTGTAGTAGTGTAGTAGGGAGTGCAATTGCTGTATGTTTGGCCCCTGAGCTGTTGGCCTGCAGTAACTCTGACCCCAGAATAGCCCCACCCTATAGAGTCACTCTTCTTACCAGTTTTAGCTTCTCTTTCTTTCTTTTGCCAGCTGCCGACCCCGAGGAGCTGGGGCCGGACTCCGGGCCGACCGCGTTACCGTCATCGTCCGCCTCCCCGTTGTCGTCGTCGTCGAAGCACCACTCGGGCAGAGCAGGGGCCGCGGGCGCGTCCTCCTCGTCGCCGTAGCGGCAGAAAAGCTCTTTGAGGTAGTCTCCCTTATAGATCCCAGGGGCCCGAGCCTGGGAGAAAGCAGCCACGGCTGCCTCGATGCTGATAAGAAAAACACAGGCGTGGGTGTTATTTTGGCTAAAACTTCATTAGAAGTACTAAAATATATACAGCTGAGCTGGTTGTTTTTCTTTTTTTAACTGAAAAGTATTATATGTTATCAAAGATGGTTCATAAGGGATCAGGTAATCAGTTAAATAATGAAAAAATAAGGATTTTAAGTATTCAGAATTAATTCCTGATCAAATTTAAATGCAGAAAACACCAAAACAAACAGAAATGAAGTTTGTCTTGTTTTTACCATTTTTAAGGTTCTCACTTATTAGCCCCTTTCACAAACCAGTTCCACAGATTTACTGCCAAAACCAGACCCTCTTTTAGGACGCTTCTGGCATTCATAAATCCCTAACTGAGGGACCTACATCTAGCAATACGAAGAGCTTTCATAACTGAAGCCAAAATCATGAAAATATCGGAGGATAACTTAGCGAGGACCACCTGGAATCTTCAAATCGTGTGTTGGACATCTCATGTTCTTAACTCTGCAGCTGGCTGGTTGCAAAGATTACATTCTGTGAACATAATCCCAGTTGCCCTAACCTGGGCAAACATCAGCCATGTCTATGCTTAACATGTTCCACTAATAGAAATGTGGCCTATCAAACTACAATGCCAGCCTGCTCTTTCATTTTTGGACCTTTACGGCTCTGCTACTACCTCGTTTGGTAGCTCAAATGCGTAACAACTTTATTCAATCACACAAACATAAGGAAGAGGCCTCTTTGGAGCGATCTCGCACCAGGGTGGCCTCAGTTCAAAAACTCATGGATTGTGTAGTGTCCAAACTCACAGACGGAGTCGTTTTGAACCAATAAGCCTTCTATAATTGAGGCCATTGGTAAATAATTGGTGCAACAACAGTCCATAAGGGTTGGCCATGCACTGGTAGTTGGGATGCTGTGATATCATCAATAATACTGGAACTGCAAAGACAACTAGAACAAGAAAACAGGAGAAAATGTTGCTATCTCTTCAACTGAATGGCCTCATCGAGATTTGGATTCACCATTTGGTTTCGTTGATTTTTTTTTATCTGATGGTTTTGTGGCAGACTGACAGACATTTGGCTCATCCAGTCACCAGTCAATGCAATATTTTGCCCTTTTACAACCAGCTTTCAGGGCTTCTTCACAGCTCTGTGCATCAAAACAGTTCTTGCTGCTTCTCAAATGGACACCATTTGAAGCTTCGCAGCCTGAGGGTGGTTTCCTTCATCTGCTCATGATCGGGGAGCAAAACTTCTGAATGCAAATGTCACACATGGATTCAACTTCAGGAGCAAAATGCATGAAATTATACTGTGTTCACATACTAAAACGGAAAGGTGCAAATTAAAACACACTACGTGGTTTTTTATATAAATCTCAAAAGCTGTACGCACCCAGACTAGATCATTTCCACTCCTGAATTGATGCTCCCTAATTATTTTGTTTGGATGTTCATATAAAGAGTGTTTGTGTTGTAATCTAAGTGAAAATATTTATCCTAATCACACCTTCCTTAATGAGGATTTAAAGTGACTCTAATTCCAACAACAGTCCAAAAATCAGTAATAAAAATGGACCACTGTTGACAGTTGAATAGCTGAATTATCTTGCAGCACTTTAATAGTGGATGACAGCTGAAAATGGTCTGAGAATATTTGTTTCACAGGAAACTGTGGGAGGTGGGAGGGTTTAATTCAGCCTCCACGTCTCCAGAGAATCTGCTTTCTCTGTCGGCTGCCCAACCTCAGAGCAAAGGCGCATCCCACCCTTTCTGCTCAGCTGTTTGAAATCATTTCTGTCTGTGACAAACTTGGTCACTCTTTTTACTTCTCCGGCCCCCGTGAGGCTTTGTGTGGATTGACGCTGACAGATTACACTCTCGTGGCGTGACACATAACTGCCAATGAAACCCGAGTTATAACGCAACCCGCTGGGGAGAGTCTGGGCTGGATGGTCGGAGTTATCAAGCGAGACGATTGTGAGGATTCTGCAAAGACTCTCGTGCGTGTTTGAGTGATCGGAGTGTGTCAGCCCTCACCTCCAGTCCATCTTCTCCACCAGGTATGCACATATCAGAAAGCCTGTTCGGTTGAAGCCATGCGTGCAGTGAACACCTTCAGGAGACAAAAAAAACAAAAGAAAACCGAGGTTTAAAATATTCCACTGAAAGAGAAACGCACCTTGCAAAGCATCTTTTCCTCCCTATCTGTACAAAGAACTTTGACACAATTAAATTAATTAGTAAAATAAGAGCAAGCTTTTAAAATTTAAACAAAGGTTGAACAGTTTCCTCCAGTTTCCTCCTTTGAAATGAGTCCATGTTTTGAGCAGGGGCATGAATCTCCTCTCTTAACCCCCACATCAAATATGTGTCTAAAACCAGATGTTGGAAAGTCACAGGAGACCCAGAGATTGATGAATCATTCAGGGAGAGGTAACATAAAGGGCACAAACACATAAATGAATTAAAAAGAAAATCCAGCTCATTTTTTTCTTGAAAGATAAGAAAGTTATTTCTGTAACATCAAAACAAAAACCTTCCACAGGAGCAAGTCAGTTTCCCAAACACACGGTCTTCAGCAGGTGCACAGGAGAATTCAAACCACACACAATAAAAACATTTGACTCCAACATTTGCCCAGGTTGGAAAGACTGAACAGCAACGCCAGCGCAGACTAAATGAACCAACATTAGGGATTGCACTTAGTGGCCCAGGTGTTTAATTTGGACGTGTGTTCTGCAAAGATAACAGACCTGGATCGGCAGCTGGCTGAGGCCAGGAATTTATTGAGATTACTTCAGACATTCTGCTGCAAAGCTCAGACTATAGGTTTGGCAAAACAGGCTGGAGTGAAACAGAAAACCTGGAGAGTAAGAGTGCCCCCTGCTGCTGCAACTGTGAAACTGCAGGATTGACTTTTTTTGCGCGTTTGATAAAAAAATGGCTAGAGATGGCTTAAAGGCAAAAATATTATGAGAATTTCATTTTTGCGCTACCTTTTCTCACTTAAAATGTTTTGTTTTTACAATATCAAAATAAAGCAAGAAAATGACCCAACTCACCTCCTAGACGTGATTTAAAGCTGTACTGAGCTCAATTTTCAATGTGTTGAAGTAATTGATCAAATAAAATTGAAAATCCAAGTCAGTATAACCTTTAAAACACACATTTCACATCACCATTATCATTAAAACACCTACTCAGCCTGTATGTTTGAACTCCACCATAAATCAGAACAGGGCATTCTGTTCATGTACACATTAATAACAAGGTTTAAGCAGCCTGAATAATAATATTCTTATTATGACTGTAGGCTTGGAAAATGTGTTGATTAAAAAGCTGTGAACATTTGTAAACAAAATAAGCAACCAGCATTTCAAAATCTGGAGTAATTCTGCCCTCTGCTGGACAAAATACATATAGCAACAAAGAACTAAATTGTGACTCCTTTGTTAGCGACTGATTTATTTACATTAATAATAAAATAAAATAAAAAAAACAGCTGGAAGTCCAATTAAGTGCTCAGATCTTATGTGAGAACTTAAGCAAAGTTTAAAAGTAAAATAAATGTATAAAACAGTAACGTAAAAAGAAAATTCTTACCGATGAGTTCTGTCGGGTTCTTTTCTATGAAGTGCTCACAGAACCTAATGAACGTTGACGTTATGTCCTTTGAAGGGCACTCCCCGTGGCTTTAGACATACATAATAACAGTTATCAGAACCTTAACATAATAAATCAGAATATTTAGGTTTTTTTTGTGACAATAAATCTGCTCGTACCCTTTACACTGAAGCTTCACGTATTTGATTCCTTCTTTTTCAATGTCGTTGCGATCATAAAAGCGAGTTGTGTTTGTCAAGTCTATAAGCAAACCCATTTTCACCTGAAAAAGAAAACAAAAGCACAAAATGAAATAAAGGCTTTCAATAAAACTTTAAACACTTTTGTCTTATCTTAGCTGAGTGACTTACTTTGAGACTTTTTAAATAGTTGGACAGCATGCTCGGGTGAAACCGGTTCTCCTCGGCAACCTGGTCATCATATCTGGGACCCAACATTGTTTTCATCGGTAGGAATTTACCTAAGAAGAAAAAAAATAATAAGCCACCGAACTGTCATATAATATTTTCATGGTCAAGATAACCGCTGCCCACTTTACCCTCTCAAAATAGTTTAATAAATGGAAAAAATGAGTGTCAAAATAATAAAAAGTACTAAGACTTAATGAAACTACTTACAGATAAAGACTCATAATTCTGATCTAGCAGCTTACATGTTGTCATAATTATGAGTTATAAATAACTATCATAAGAATTAAGAGGACCTTTTTGAAATCACGGTAGTGTAAAAAAAGTTTAACTATAACAAGCACTTACTTATTGATAACTAACTTTAGTAAAATGAATTCTTATTATTGTTTATTGTAATTACCCATGGCAGTAATTATACGCATCCAGTTTTTCCTAACCATGTTTAGTGATACATGAATACCTAATAAATGTGATCGACTGCACTGAAATTAAAGTATTATTTAAAGTGCTGAAGATACCTGCAGCAACCAATAACCTTTGCTTACATGGTTGTTTGTTTTGACACTTGATGCTACAGCTTGTCAAGTCAGCAATACATTGTTTTAAATCATATAATCATCTGATTTTAAATTAACATAAACATTTATTACAAATTAGGGGTTCCTTTGGGGAGCTGAGCTGGATTTAACATCAGCAAATAAAGCAGCACACCAACCTTTATACCTTTAACCTTTATA